GTGCAGAGGCCCTCCTTCCCAACAGGTAAGTTGAAGTAGCCATGAAAGTGGGTGAAAAAGTACTTTGGGAGCCATAAGGAGCTTTGTGTGTAAAACATAGTAGATGCTTACTAAGTGTTGGATGGATGAATAGGTGGATGGATGATAGATGGATGAATGGATGGATGGATGAATGATGATGGATGGTTGGATGGATGAATGGATGGCTGATGGATGGATCGATGATGGATGGATGGATGGATGGATGGATGGATGAATGGATGGATGGATGAATGATGATGGATGGTTGGATGGATGAATGGATGGATGATGGATGGATGGATGGCGGGTGGATGGATGGATGGATGGCTGATGGATGGATCGATGGATGGATGGATGGATGGATGGATGGATGAATGGATGGATGGATGAATGATGATGGATGGATGGATGGATGAATGGATGGATGATGGATGGATGGATGGCGGGTGGATGGATGGATGGATGGCTGATGAATGGATCGATGATGGATGGATGGATGGATGGATGGATGGATGGCAGATAGCTGTGTATATGAATGTGTTAGAGCGTGAATGAGTGCACAAATAAATCAGTGAGCCATTAAGCGAATGGGTAGAAAAGCAAGTGAGTGAAGGAATAAATAATGCTTGAATGAGTAAACAAGTTTGTACCTGAGTAAATGAACTTCTGGTCCAGAACAGAAAACCTAACTTGTTATCCCCTCGCTTAGGTGTAGGGAAGCCCTGGAAAGAAAGCGAAGAGGAGGAGACAGTATCCTGAATCTTGAGTAAGCTGCACTTTCAAGCTTCTTAAGGAAGTACCACCTCTCAGCTTCTGGAGAGCCACACGTACTCAGGATAGGGCGAAGTGTGCCGCACTCTGGGCAGCAGCCCTCAGCCCCCGCCGGGCCTGGTCCCAGCCCTGGAGTATCGGTCACGTGGGTTAGGTCACAGTGGAGCCTGGGAACCAGCCCACCTACTCACTACTGTTGAGTGGCCTTCCAAGCCCCTCGGACCCAGAAAGCTCCCCAGGGTTGTGTGCTCTGTGTGCAGCATTCCTGCCCTGCCTTTCTCCCCCTCTGACATCTCCTGCTCCCCAACATCCAGGTGGCCCCCCCAGTGTGATAGATGGAGCTCCCCCTGGCCCGCGGTTGATCCCCAGCTCTGCCGCTTAGGCTGTTTGGCTTCAGGCAAGTGCCTTAACCTCTCTGAGTCACAGCTTCCTTATCATTTAGATGAAAATCTTGCCTGTCTCGAGGGGTGGCCGTGAGGGTTCAGTGGGATAATTTGTGTCAAGGACTCACACTGTGCCTGGCCCACGATGTACACCAAGCACCTTATTCCCAGCTCCCTAGGCGGCGGCGTACAGAGCATTTACACAGGGTCGGCTCAGCCCTGTGCTCAGAGCTTTCCGTGCATGGCTGTGCCAAGTCCTCACCCAAGAGGGTGGTAGGGATTATTGCCTCCTGCCGAAACTACACACGGAAGTCCTAGCCCCCAGGACCTCAGAATAGGACCTTTTTTGGAAATCAGGTCTCGACAGAGGTAATCAAGTTAAAATGCAGTCATTAGGCTGGGCCCTCGCCAATGAGGTGTCCCTATGGTAAGGGGCAGTTTCGACAGAGACGGACACACACAGAGGGAGACGATGCAAAGACACACAGGGAGAAGGCTGTGTGAAGAGGGAGGCAGGGGCTGGAGGGATACAGCCAGAAGCCAAGGAACGTCTGGAGCTGCTAGAAGCTGGATCCTTCCCGCAGGTTCAGAGGGAGCACGTCATGCCAGCACCCTCTGGACTTCTGGCCTCCAGACTGTGGAACAATCCATTTCTGTTGTTCTAGGCCATCCAGTTTGTGCTGCTCTGTGGTGGCCGCTGCACGAAAAATGAATACAGAGAGGATTGGCCTCATGTTGCCAAGACACTGAGGCTCCTGGGGGTGGGGGTGGGAGAGGGAGGGGCTTGCACTCAGGGTTCCAGAGCTTCTGGATAGAGGTGGAAAATAAGGGCATGCCTGGGAGATGTGTCATGCCATAGGTCCAAAGAGAGAGCCACGTCCCCTTACTGTTCTGAGTTTACTCGTGTGCCTTACAGACTTCAACAGCACGACCTTCAGCAGCATCGTCCAGGCTAGGAAGAGCCAAGGATCTCACTGGGGATCTTGAGACATACCTCTCAGCTCAGTCAGGAAAATGGGGCACTTCCAGGCTGTGTGACTTTGGGTGAGTTACCTAACCTCTCTGACCTCAGTTTCCTCATCTGAAGATGGAATTATGACCCACCTCACAGGGTTGTGGCGAGGATCAAATAAGACAACTCATGGGAAGTGCTTAGCCCTGGGGCAGGCACTCAGCCACGGCTGCTATAATAGAGATGATGTCTCTTGGGGACCTAATAATTTAGGCTCCTTTCTCTCTCCTCTGGATAGTTGAAGAGCCTTGTGATGACTGGTGGGATGTGGGGTGGCAGAGGAAGGATCACAGGCTGTGTTTATCCCCCCCACACACAAAATCTGCCTTACAGAACAAAATGTTAAAAAGGGGCCTCAATCCATACCCCTCAGAGGCCTGGGGTTTCCGCCTCCCACCCAGAGCGGGGAGGGCATCTTCCCACAGCCCCCACCAACTACCATCCAGAGCTGCTTACCTGCCAGGAGCCCCAAAGAGCTGTGTCCCCTGCCTTCTGCTGCAGGTGCTCCCGGGAGCATGGCCAGATGTCCTCCCTGCAGAGCCAGGCAGTGCCCACTCTCCCTCAAGGTCTGAGCTCCCCCCGGGAGGTTCCTCTGGTTCCTCCTGAGTGGCTGGGGGCAGGAGGGAGGGACTTGGTGGCTCCCCTGGCTTTCCTAGGTCAGCACAGGAGCTGACCCCCAGCATGTGCCTTCACAGCAAAGGGGGCAGAGGTGACCAAGCAGTGCATGGGACTCCACGGAGCAGGGAAGTTGGAGAAAATGCCAGACAAAGCCTGAGAGAAGCTTCAACCACAGGGGATATTTGTTACCAAAAGTGTTTATTCAATGCCAGGAAACCTCCCAGGAAAACACAGGTTGCCAAAATCTCATCAGGTAGAATGAGACCTGTGTGGAGCAAGGGGTGTGGGGGGTGAGGGGATGGGGGAGAATATGTGGGAGAGAGAGAGAGGGAGAGAGAGGGAGAGAGTGTGTGTTAGGGGGTCCATGTAGAGTAGGGCAAAGGCCTGGGGAAGCAGGTACTTAATGCACATCCTCGGTGTTACCATATGGTGGGGCAACTCAGCAACATCTGCAAAATGTGAACACATCGATCTTTTTTTTTAAATTTTATTTTATTATGTCATGTTAATCACCATACATTACATCATTAGTTTTTGATGTAGTGTTCCATGATTCATTGTTTGCATATAACACCCAGTGCTCCGTGCAGAACGTGCCCTCTTTAATACCCATCACCAGGCTAACCCATCCTCCCACCCCCCTCCCCTCTAGAACCCTCAGTTTGTTTCTCAGAGTCCATCGTCTCTCATGTGAACACATAGATCTTAAATTCAACAATTTCTCCTCCCGGGATTTATCCTTTAGATAGAAGCACACTTATGCCAAGATAAAAGTTCGAGGGTGTTCACCGTAGCCTTGTCAGTAGGAACAGATACCTTGTCCAGCAAATTTAGTAGGGCTCGGCTCCCAAAGGGCAACTCTACACCACACAAGGAATTCAAGACTTTAGCCCTAGGACAATAGGGAGCCATAGAGGGCTTTAAGCAGGGGGAAGGACATGTTCCAATGTGTGTTTTGGATGAATTGTTCTGACAGGGCAGAAAAAGCAGAGCTGGGGAGACCAAACTCCAGACAAGCTAATAATTTAGTCTCCTTTCTCTCTCCTCTGGATAGTTGAAGAGCCTTGTGATGACTGGTGGGATGTGGGGTGGCAGAGGAAGGGACACCAGGAGGGTTAGTCCCCTTCTCCTGCCATCAACTCTGCTGCCCCTGGGAAGCCAGTGAGGGTGTAAGGACAGGGGATTTCTTCAAAGGGCAGAACCCTGCCTCCCCTGCACGTCCCCCACACCCGACGCTGGAGAAGACCCGGCACAGTGGAGTCAGGGCCTCGGCTCAAACCCCAACTCCCCTGGCGTGGCTCCAAGCCAGACAGTTGGTCATTCTGTGCCTCATTTTCCCCATCTGTGAAACAGGGATAACCAAAGACCCTACCTCATAGAATTCTGGTGAGGGATAAAACCCCTGTATAAGGCATATGGAAAAGCGCCTGGTACACGGTAGATGTTCACTAAATGTGAGCTATTTTTATAACTAGGCATATGGTAGCCTCTCTGTATTTATAAAAGGAGTATTTGTTTTTTGGTTTTTGTTTTTTTTTAAGATTTTATTTATTTATTTTGAGAGAGAGAGAATGAGAGACAGAGAGCATGAGAGGGAGGAGGGTCAGAGGGAGAAGCAGACTCCCTGCCGAGCAGGAAGTTCGATGCGGGACTCCATCCCGGGACTCCAGGATCATGACCTGAGCCGAAGGCAGTCGCTTAACCAACTGAGCCACCCAGGCGCCCTAAAAGGAGTATTTGTTATTGAAGTCAACCTAAAGGCGAATCAAGGAGTGTGAAATTTTAGAATGGGAGCTGAGGGCAAGATCCCCCAACCCTTTGAAAGGGTGGGAGAGAGTCAGGCATCCCCAAAGATGGTCAAGGACGGTTGGAGTCAGTGCCGGGGGTTGGACCCAGAGCCCACAGCTTGTTAAATGAATGCCTAGGCCCAGTGTGTTTATCAGGGGTCTCCTGAGCACAGGAACCCCTTCGTCTCTTTAATACGGACCCACACCTTCTGGCCCAGCCCTGTCCTAGGACCTCATCTGAGTTCAGGTGGCCAACTTCTCCCCAAGTGCCTATCCCATCTTCACAGGCTCGGGCTCCTCCCCAGGGACCCTGGGAGATCATCTGTAGTGAGAGAGGAGCTGGGTCCTCTGGAGGCTTTCCTGAGTCCATCGGTGCAGGAGGGGAGTTGGGGACCCCAGGGAAGCACCTCACTCGCCAGAGTCCTCGTCCCGCACCAGTGAGTCTCTCCCATCCACCTCGGTTACCACCACCACCCCTCCGCTGACTCCAGGAAAGCCAGGCTGGAAAAGCATGGAAGGTTGGGCCTAGGGATGACAATGGATTGAAAGGGTGAGAGAGGAACAGATACATGATGGGGTGGGAAGGGTTCTATATGAATGGGACAGGATTCTGGAGCAGAGTCCAAAAGTCTCCTTTTCTTACCCCACTAATTGTACACAAACAGGACAGGCTACATAATTTGTGGGCCCGTTAAAAAAATGAATGTGTGGGGCCCCTCGTTCAAAAATTAAAAATTTTAAGACAAGAGACAGCAGAACATTAAAGCAAGCATGGGGCTCTTATAATAGAGCTGAGAAGGACCATTAGAGCATTGGGGTCATTGACACGGGGATGACATTTAACTGCACTGGAATGGATGAGGCCTTTCCAAGGTGTTCAATAACTTTGGGCAAATTACTTACTGCTCTGCCACTCAGAGTTCTCATTTGCAAAATGGAGGTAAGAATAATACCCTCTTCATAGGATCTCATAAATGAGCTTGTGAAAGGGAAGTGCTCGGCACAGGCCCTGCTGCCTCTTAAGTGTCCCAAGACTATCAGCGAGCATCATCACTGGCGTTGTGTCATTCCCCCTACAAATAGCTGTGTGTCAGGAGTGCTGGGAGGGCTTTGGGTTTGGAGCATCAATTATCGGGCACGTCAAGAGGTGGTAAGTGCTATGGCAGAACACAATCTAGAGCAGAGTAAGGGGGACATTTGAGCTCAACCTCGGAGGTGAGGGAGTGCACCAAGTGGATGTGGGGGAGAAGAGTTCCAGGCAGAAGGAGCGGTCAGTGCAAAGACTCTAAGTAAGGAGAGTGGTGGGAGGTGAGGTCATGGAGGTAAAGGGTAGGGGACCTTTGTAAAGGAAGTCTTCATGGCAGAGGAGGCTGGTCCTCCAACATGGTGAAAACAGATCTCCAACAGAACGAAGCAGAGGGTTCCCCAACATGGCAGAGACAACAAGCTCTCCAGCGTGGTGGAGGAAGTGGACCTGCAACATGGCAGCCGCCCTAGGCTTTGGGTAGGACCCGAGGCTCCCCATTCCTGCCCCCTGCCCCCCAGAAGGGTCTCACCTGGCTGAACAGGCTCACCAGCAGGGCCTCTCCTCCTTTTAGCTACGGAGTATCCCTCCCAGCAAAACTGGGCTGGACCTTTGATCCAGGGCTCCTAGTCAAAGCATAAATCTGAGTCATTTTCCTCTGAATCTGTGGAGGTACAAGATAAGGCCTCTTGGGTGGTCACATCCTGACCCAAAAGGAGCCCCCTGCCAAGCCTGGGGCATCCCTGCAACCTTGTCTGAGACCAAGGGGCCAAGGCAGAACCCTGACATATGGGACAGCCCTGAGATCTCAGGAAGACTGGAGGACATTGAAGGTGACCAGGGACCAAAAAATGTTGTCCTAGGACTCAGAAAGTGGCCATACCACCTACTAACTAGGGACAGGCTCTAGAGGCGAACAAATGACCTACTTGCATTGGGTGGGTCCAAGAGCAGGCACTGAGGAGACAAAAACCCAACCATTGGCCCATCCATCCATTCGTCCACCAGTCCATTTATTAACAAATATCTCAGCATATATGTGCAAGATTTCTCTGCAGCATTGTTTTGTGGTGAAACATGCACAAGCAATAAAATACCCTGGAAACTGTGTGTGTGTGTGTGTGTGTGTGTGTGTGTGTGTGTGTCCATCCTGAGAGGTCTGGGTGACGGAGGTGTGGGACAGGCGCACTGCATAAAGAGCTGCCTCTCCATCCAGTGGCATGTCAGAAGCTGTTAAATGTAGTTTTCGACTTGCAGGATGTCTGTGATACATCACAAGCAAGTTTCAGAGAAATGTATAGGGTAGGATCTCCTCCCCCCTTTTTTTTGGAAAAACAAGTAACAATCTGCCCACACTTTTTTGGAAAACCTACATGTATTGTTAGGTGCATGAGCTCGCTACCGTGACGTCTCTGGGGAAGGCAAGGTGAAGGAGAAAGGAGAAGGGTTGGGGGAATTCTCCTTCTCACTATACTCTTAAGGTGTCTCACTGGTGACAGAGAAGTAACGGAGGCCGAAGAGAGCCCTCTGCTTGCAGGCCAAGAGCAGGAGACAGAAAAGGCGGGCTCCATTTCCTCATCTGTAAAATGGGCATATTACAGCCCTAGGAGGAGGGTTTAACTGACGTAGACCATGTACAACAGGTGCTCATCCAAGTTGGCAGTGATGAGGATTTACAAATCAGTGTGAGGGCTTGAAGCGACTGCTCTTCACTACAGATTGTGATTGGTTTTTGAACACATGCTACCTGCTAAGTGTTTCCCGTGCATTTTCTCATTTAATCCTGTTAACGATGTCTTGAAGGCAATTACTAGTGTTACTTGTATTTTACGGATAGGAAGGTTCAGAAAGGTAGACTGTCCAGGCTCACAGCCAGAAGCGGTGGTGCTGGACTCCGATCAGCCTCCCGGCACCAGGGCCCTGCGATTCCATGGGGTGCACCTGTTTAAAGTTGGGGGATTCAGAGGCAGCTTTGCACTTAACACCTCGCTCCAAGGATCACCATGAGGTGAGCAGGACCTTCAACAGGCATGTTTCAGCCCTAAATCCATCTCTCTGAAGGTTTCTCTTCTTCCTTCTGCGAATTCCTTTCTGATCACAAAGGAAATGTCCTCAGAGGAGCCCCTTCCCCTTGAAGGGCACACGTGGCTTCATCCTGTCCTTCTGTCATGGTCCGGGATTAGTGTTGTCCCCACTGGCCGGCTTCTCCAGGGCTCAGCTGCCCACGACCTTTTCTTGCCCCAGTGCCAAGCTTGCCAGGCAGCTCCCTTCTCCCCTTGCCCCGTCTCCGTCCTCCTGGGCCACATGGCACTCCCTACTCAAATCGGCCACCTTCCGGGCCCTGGAACTGCCCTGCTGAACAGGGAGGGTCAGAGCTAGTCCTGTCTGCTTTTCGCACCGGATTCCAGGCCAAACTGATTCCAACGAAGAGATCCGCAGCAGAAGAGAAAACCGCCGGCCAGGGTGTCCTTGAGAAGCAGCTCCCCCAAACCCCGGCAGGCCCAGACCCTGGCACAAGGACGTGACCAGGGCAACAATGCTAAGAGCTCCGAGAAGACCGCTCCCTTCACTTTAAGGACAGCTTCTGGTCATTGCAAATTACCAAATGCCTTCTCGCGAAGGGCCATGTGAGACGTGGGAGAACGTCTGAGAAAAGGTCAGGACGGGGCAGGCGGTGGATGGTTTCAGAGCAGGGCCTTCAAGGAGAATGAATTGCTGGAGATTAGTGCCTTAGACCGTAGGCGAGGTGCCACGTTGCCTCCGGAGAAGCTGTCCCAAGCCAGGCCCACGCTTCCTCCCACCTCGACAAAACCGTCATGGGAACGGATTATTCCGCAGCCTGTAACCACCTACTATGTGCCGTGTGTATACACGTCCTGGCTGCCCTGCCCTGCACACGCATCTCTCCACGGCCTCAAAGGGCAGGGGCCGATATTATCTCCGTCCTGCAGGTGAGAAACCCCAGGCTCAGAGCGGACTTGCCCCAAGTCACAGAGCCGGGGGGAGGCAGAGCCAGGATGTGGCCCCAGATAACCGGCACGGTCAAGTACTTCGTAGGTGTGTGACCTGGGCCCGCGGCTTCTCTCCCCGAGCCCTGGTTTCCTCAGTTGTGTGATAAGGATTACTTCGCGGGGTTATTCTGAGGATTAAATGAGATGATGCACATCATCTTGTTTGGCGCAACCTTTAGTACAGTGTTGAAAAAAGGTGAGCAGTTATTCTGAGCGATGAAGGGGCAAGGCTAAAATGCGGGCCCACGTCCTGGCCTCCAGAGAGATGGCTTTTACAGCCACTTCACGGACAAGTGCCCTGACTCCCACCAGCCACCCCCGGACGCCCGAGCTGCGCCCCTCAGGGAGAGCTGCGGCCCACCCCGGGAATATGAGGATGTAAACAGACATTTTCTGGACGCTCTCGCCAGGAACTCCCAATAATGACGCCATCACCAGCCCCCACGCGTGAGCACATGGGGCAGATCTGGGGATGAACCGCTGACCCTGTCTCAATGCCGTCTGACCGGAGCTGGCCGCACGTCAGCACCCTCCCTGCCTAGCGGACCAGAGGTCTTGGAACTGAGAAGCAGGAGGTGGAAGGTCCCCGGGGAGAGGGCCCGTGGTGAGGGGAGCGCCCAGGGAGATAGGATACCCGCGGAGCAGAAGGCCGTCCCTGCCACCGGCCCCCAGCTTCCGCTGTGGCCAGCTCCACCCTGCCTCCTGTTCCTCTGGGTGGCATGCTGAGCTCAGGACAAGTGTCCGTCAGCCTCCATGATCTTGCGACCCCGAGAACCCAGATGCCTCCCTGATGTATAGTCTGGGCAGGAAGTGTGAGTGGTCTCCTGGCACCTGATAAATGCCCAGGGCTGCCATATCCCATTGTGTAAGTTGTTTACTGCACAAAAGTACCCAGCTGAGAGACTGGGAGGGGCTGAAGTCCAGCCCATACCTTGTTCCCCCAGCCTTGTGCCCTAGCTAGTCACAGGAAAGGGTCCCTTTGACCAGTTCATCTGGGCGCAGGGGCCACCTCTGATTTGTGCCAAGCAGTGGCCCTGACGGGACACAGGTGTGCACACAAACACACTGCTTCCCCAACTCAGAGGCTCACTCTTGGCCTCTAAACCTACTCAATTAATCCTTTGCTCCTACAGGTGACTGCTTGTCTCAGCCAGCGGTTAAGGCGCATGAAGGAAATTCTCTCTGCACTTGCTCCAGGATCCCCCTGCCCAGCTCCACGCTTAGGGCCCAGCCTGGGCGGCTCACCTTGGCTCAGTAAGAAGCGGAGCCAGACGATCAGCAGGACCAACAGCAAGCTCACGGGCAGGCAGAGCCGGAGCACGAGGAAAGAAAACGTGAGGTCGCTCACCAGCGGCACCAGGGGGTACCTCATGGTGCGTGCGTGGCTAAGCCAGGCCTGCCTGGGCTGCGCTGGTGGGGCTGCCCTGGGGACCCAGTGGGCCGGGCCACACTCTGCTCTCGGCCCAATTGTGACTGAGCGGGTGACATAACAAGGACGTCACAGTGTCCTTCAGGCCAAGGCAGAGCTGTTTTGGACGAGTGCTTTTGGACGAGCGGGTGGAAGCCAGTGGCAGTGAGGCAGTTCGGCCAAGAACAGAAGCCCAGGCTTCCAGGCAGGCAGGCCTGGGTCCAAATCCCTGCGAAGATGCTATGGGTTCATGGGACACCTCCTTGGATCCTCTTGTAAGATGGAAAGAAATCTTACCTCAGCAAGCTGCTAAAAGTTAGAGAAGAATAAATGATGGGACAAACATCGCCCCCAGGTGGCTGTTCAAGTCTGAGGCCACAGATTCCCTCAGGGGCCAGCCAGGTGCCGGCCTGTCCTTCTGGCTACAGGTGCCCACATCCGCACTTGGTGGCGGTGGCGGGGGCTGCGGCGACCTGGATGGAGCTTGGTGCATCCAAAGCGGGCAGCTGTCGCAGCTTCAGGCAGTTAACTGCTGCGTGGGAGAGGCAGGCCCAGTAGTGCCACATCTCCTTTCCCAAGAGAGCCCCCCAAATCTGCATTTTTATGTGAAACCTCCCAATTAAAAAATGCTGCATCAAGCACTGAAACACTGTTGGCTCAAGAAAACAAGTCTGCTGGGCCAGCCTGGGCCACTGGGTTGCCATTTAAAAACTTTCTAACACACAGTAGGCCCTCAATAAATATTTAATCTGGCAACTTCTGCACCTCTCCTTATCAGAGTTTTCAGTGAGGGGCTTCTAAGTGGTTCGCCTTGTTCCTTTGTCTCCCAAGGAGAGAGAACACTCTCCAATGCCATTCTTCTCTCTTCCCACCTCATCTTGTCATCCGTTCATGTAGTAGTGGACCTCCATGTGCCAGGTCCCGTGGCAGGAAGGAGGCCCTGGACCTCCAGGCCCGGCCATCCCCGAGCTGGAGGGAGACTCTGGCCAGACAGGGAGCCTGACAGGTGCGGGGAGCTCACAGGAGGAATGGCTGGTGCCTGTGGAAGGGAGGGGGGCAGGGGCATTGCAGGCCCCAAGAGGGTCCTGGACCAGCTACGTCAGTCACTACAGGCAAGTGTCTGTGAAACACACCAATTCCTACCCTTCCCCCTGCTCTACTGAGTCAGAACCTCCAGGTGAGGCTTAGGACACCATGGTAATGAGCAAACCAGTCGAATGCAGCCCTGGTTCTGGTGCCACAGCAACTCGTCAGGCCGACCCAGTTCCAGGCTGGGAGAGCAGCTGCAAGAAGTGGGTGGTAGACCTGGGGGAGACATGGGGTGGACGGACCCCCTTACTGGAGGACACCAGCTCAGGGAGAAAGGCAAGAGGGCCAGCCACAGAAGAAAACAGGGAAGGGGTGGAAAGAGGGGAGGGGCGGGGAGAGCTGGAGCTTGGAAGCCAGTGGCTCAGAGACGGTCTCAGCCCGACGGTGGGATGACTGGAGTCCCCAGAAGAGGCAGCCGGGGCAGACAGCATTAGAATGCGTGTCCGAGAAGAACAGTGCCTTGGCAGGCTGTGCCACTCAGGGCCCAGAGGCCAAGACCGGGAGTGGTTTGGGCTGGGGAGCTCTTGGCACTGGCTCCTGAAGGGGCTGAGCAGCACAGTGGGGAAGGCTTGAACATTGTCTCCCCAGAGCCCAAAACAGGACCACTCTGCAATCAGCCTGACGCGTCGCTGGCCACCAAGGAGCAGCTGGAGGTCCTGCGGGCAGAGCAGGTACGGACGCCCAGCTACAGGGGAGGCAGCTCAGGGGGTCACATGTTAAGATCCCGTCGAATCAAGCATTCTCCCTGCTGTTTCCCTGGGTGGTGCAACCACCCCACACACATGGTCTAGGCAGGAAGGCGCTCATCGGGCTGCTTGGACCCTTCTCAAGCCAACCCTACTCACACGGGCAGTGGGTGGGGGGAGGGTGCCCTCCTCTGCGTCTCCCCTTTCCTGACTGCCAGCCCCGGCAGAGCCCGGGTTTGGTGCAGGCAGAAAGCACGGCTGCCCCTGCGTGTTGCTGAGATACGGGCAGCCAGCTGCTTGGTGAACAGCAGCCTCCATACGGGGGCTCCTGCTGGCTGTTGATGGCATCACACAAACGCTGCGGCGACTTCGTATGGTGACGGAGTAGCTTTTATCCTCGCAGGTAAGCAACTCATCGTGTACGAGAACAGTACATCACTATGTCGTACCCTGACACTAATGTAATGCTGTATGTCAATTATAACTCGGTTAAAAATTATTTTTAAAAACGAATCTAATTTTGGGTATTCCGTGAAACTCTACAAAACCAGCGTGAAAACCCACAGATCTAAATTATGAAGGTCAGGCAAAGCAGAGCACACGCGCCCTGGGAAGAGTAAACGAGAAACAACCGTGCAGGAGTCAAACCCCGCGTGTCACCAAAAGCACACACAACATTATTAGATAAGAATCTCCTTAAAATTTAATTGACTAAATGTATTACATTCAATATTCCATGGGTTTCTTCTGGACAAAGGATCGGCATAAATACAAACAAAGCCTCTGGGCCTTGTCCCCTAACTGAGGAAGAGAAAACACAGAAGGCAAGAGACACAGGTACACCTTCGTATTTACATTTCGCCTTTACTTTACAGTTCAGTGCCAGAAATATTTACAGAAAATACAATAAGAAAAAGATCATGTCTTGGCAACATACCGAAATTCATACAAATTGTGTATGTGATTTCAAGCAAATAATGATACTGCTTATTTTTTAGCCACAACTGCCAAGCCCTTCAGAGGAGAAAGATGTTCTTGGTCACTGCAAGAGGCAAGGACTTGGGAAACTTGGTTTGCTTCAACAAATATTTATTGGGCGCCTACTATATGCAAGGCACTGTGGAATCCCAAATTACACCTTTTCCCTCACCATTAAAAAAAGAAAAGCATCTGAAGAACGTGAGTTGATACTCTGAGAAAAACACTATACAGTACATGGCTTCTTCAGCTACCGAGAACCCACAGTTTGATTCCACACTGAGCGGGTGGATTACCTCCTATCTCTCCATCTCGGGGAAAGAGGCTGTCACGGAAATCCTTAAATTGTATCATGTAAACACAGAAATCAATTCTTTTCAGGAAGATATAAACTGAATGGGTTTTAAAATGCTGAATGGAGAACCACTGCCAGCAGGAGTGTCAAATGACCCCCAATACATCTTTACTATCTACCACAAAACAGGTCTTTGAGCAAAGCTGATTTCCACCTTGGGTGAAGTCTCACCTTCCAACGGAAATAAATGCTCCCAAAGACTGTCCCTCTGAAAATCACTCTGCAGAGCCTGACAAATGCTTCCCCACAGTATGTAGAAAGTAACCATTCATAAAGGCCTCATACACACAACCTGTGGGCAACTGACATTACTGGCCAAAGATGTAGGTCTTTTGTATTTCTAAGTGAGTCCAGAGGAGAATGGGCTGCCCTGAAATCGAGGACCAGGAAATGGCGGAGAGCATGCGTGCGTGGGGGTGTGTATGGCCAGGGCAGGAGGGGGTGAATCCACCATGTAACTCTTCCTTTCAGAGGGCCAATGCTAGGTAGGAGGAGGTCTTAGGAGGAAGCACGGGACAAAAGCGGTAGCTGGCTGACCAAGGAAAGGCAAAGCCTCCTCACTGTCGTCAATGCTCCCAACCAGAAAGGAGGAGGAAAGCCCCCATCTCCCGAATGGGAAAAAGGACTATGAGGGGCTACCTGCCTCTGTCCCTTGGTAATGCTTTCCTTGTCACCAAATGCCACACTCATCCACCCTGATAACACCTGTCACATGCAGCAACTTTACTGTTTAAGCCACGGACCAAAGTGGTCCTCGCTTCCCTTCAAAGTGTTATGAAAACACGCTAGCAAATTTATCAAGTGGACTACTAAAGGTTATTACTAGCGACTAAATATGCTCCTCTGGCATTATTCTACTCAAAGTGATTTTTGACAAAGGCAGTCGGGTGAACTTAGTGACCATGAACTCAAACCCATACTTGTAAAAGTTTCCAAGGGTTCTTACCGCACTCCCTTTTTAAATAAATGTTATTTTGAGCAGAAGGAAGGAGCACCTCACGAGGTATATGTACTCTATATTCTGTTTGTGCTGTACACACTGGGGTCTCATGCCTTCAGGGGCTGCACAGCTCTAAATCTATCCCTCCTTCCCTGGGAGATCATAGGCTTCCAGATTGCAAACCGCATTCAACACGGTTATTCACTTATCAGTCATAAGAATTACAAAGAGTTGCCAGAAATTAGAGCAAACTGAAGGATCAGGAAGCCTACCCTCAACACGCACATCACAGTATATTTTGCTGACAGTAAAACTATGCTAAAGGTAAAAGTTTTATCTGAAGAATCACACCGAGGAAGTATACCTACATCCGTTATTTTTAACCTCTGGAATGTTATAAGTTGCCTACCAATTTAAGCCCTCTTTGTTCATGTCCACTAGAAAAAGGGCCCATTTTTTCCTTGAAATGTCAATCTGGAATTTCCATGAAAGTTGTTAAACCTCACCTTATACTTGCTGAGTTAATAAAACATTTTTAGGGTAGAATTTGCTCATCTTTATCCTACACCCCCTACCCCCATGCTACCATCTGGAAACACTGATTTATTGCCCAGATTAAAAAGAAAATCAATTATTCAATAATATCATACCCTGAATGGAAACTGGAGTCATTGAAGGAGGAGGTAACCTTTACCTGAGCTTAAAACAAACATGAAGAAAAGGGTACAACAAACTTAAAACCAAGAGCTGCTATGATACCCAAATTTCTTGCTCACAGATGACAAAATACATACGTTTGGAATAGAAATATCTGCACAGGGAACTAGGCCCTACATTATCCCCGACCCTCGAATGAACTCCCCAAACATCAAACCAAACACACCATTGCGGCCCTGACCTACAGAGTCTATTGACACCAGAGTTCACGCGGGAAACCACCCTTAACACAGCTGTGAGGACTCCTCTTTGGACTTCAAATGTCACTTATTTTCTTAACATAAAATAATCTTAATAAAGAAGAAAGGAGAGAAGAATAGGAGAAACGAGCAGTGTATACTCTAGCACTGTAACAGGAATCCTTGGAAGGTTGTTCTGGGTCTGGCCACCTCAAAACATTTATCCCTGGCAGAAAAGTAGCAGTGAGGTAACAGAAGTATTTCCAAAGCCCGGGCAGGGATTTGTTGTGCCTTCAGCTGGCAAAGGTCCAGAAAACATGGTCACAACAGCCATTTCTAAGAGCAGCCACCCTAGGGGGTGGTCACTAACGTTTGTCAATTATGATGAAATCCAGTAGCTCTCTGGGAGAGATCTGAATTAGTAGTGTTGAGAGGCTATTTCCTGAACCCCAAATTACAATCCTTCATAAACTACTGCAGTTTCCTGCTTGGTCCTGAAATAAGAGACAATGGATGAAACCAAATAATTTTCAACCCTTGTTGTGAGCTTACATTTCTCAAAATTTAACCAAGAAATTACCAAGGAATTACAAATGCTTGGCCTGTCATCATGTCCCCAAGCCACAAACAGCAATGGAGAGAGTGGAGGTATCGCTGCTGTCTTACAACTTTTAACCCCACAAATGCCATCTGTGTCCCCGTTAAAGGACAGGGCCATGCCTCCACTGTAGATCTGCTCCCGGGCTGCCCAGAAACTGAGGCCTTCAGATAGATCTGTACAGTAATGAGGACGATAACTTTGTGAAATGTGGAGGAAACATGAAATATTTTAATGTCAGACTTCTTATCTAAACAAAACACATTTATGCTCATTCCTGTCCGTTGGACAGCTAGACGACAAATGGACTTACAAGTGAGCAGAAAGCTGAGATTTTTTTCCTTCTCCTCCATGCTATCATCAGCATGAGTCTTTAAATATCCTGGAAGATTCTGAGACAGATTTCAATTCTGAACATAACCTCCTAAAAAGTGAAGTATAAAACTATCTTCACCTTCTAATTTGCAAATTTGACGCTACCAATGCACGTGTTTAAATGAGATGCATAAAGCCTTTCTCCTCAAAAGGCTTATATTTAACTAAAATTGTCACTTTTAAAAGAAAGTTTATGGCTAAAATGTATATCATCATTACCAGCAGGAATATAATTGTGTCTGGGAGCCCATTTCACCAGAAAGCCAAAAGTCTTCTATCAAATGGGTTTGTGTGTTTCTTCTATTCTGGTGATTAAACAGTAAGCTCTTGGGGAGTGATTTGTTTTTCTTTTTACAGTGATCACCTATCAAATTGTTTTGCTCTGATATCATAGCCCCAAACTGGAGTTCAAGAGTCCTAGACAGACAGTATCTAAGAAGTGCAGTTCTTGAGTCAAACCTCCTGGAAAAGTGAAGTATAAAACTCTGGCTCCAGCTGCTTGTTCCGGTACTTGTTGACAATGTCCGTGATTTTCTGTTTCCGGCGGACATGTGGTGGACTGTAGGAGTCACTCTCCAGTCTCTTTCTTCTACAAATATTAATTACAGTCTGCCTCACCAGAAAACCTTGAAAAACAGAGGGTATTAAAATCAACGTGAATAACTAGCCATCTAGGTGAACTGTCAGTATTCAAGTGAACTACTCTCTGCAAAGTCAAACCTAGTTCATTCTATTTGCAAAACTCCCTGTCCCTGGAGAGACGGACAACACTTTACCAAGATAAAACTGCCAGAAGAAATACATGACAAGGGAAAACAGAAGCAAAAATCTGGTCTGACAACCCATTTTCCTGCCCTGGATTATATACAGCTATCTGATTTCCCAGGCCTGGAAGTTTGTGAATCGTAGTTCTACGTGTACTTAAGTAGATGAAGCACAGTTATAACAGAACAAAACATGCTTCTTATTTAACAAGAACCATAGCATTTTCTTTTCCTTTTTTTTAGATTTTATTTACTTGAGAGCAAGTGAGAGAGAGAGAGAACAAGCAGGGGGAAGGAGAGGGAGAAGCAGACTCCCCGCTGAGCAGTGAGCCCGATGTGGAACTTGATCCCAGAACCCTGGGATCATTACCTGAGCCAAAGGCAGACGCTTAACCAACTGAGCCACCCAGGTGCCCCAAACCACAGCATTTTCTACATCTATTAAGTAATTTCACCATTTCCTTATTTCTACTTCTTCTTAGTTCATAAAAATGTTTAAACAAACAAATAAATAAATAAAAGAGAGAAACCTTAACTCTTTGGCCATATATGAAGAACTTACCAAGTGCTCGCCTGCTGACAATCATCCCATCCACAAGTGGGATGACCATGTTAAATTTTCCAGTGGCTCCTTGAATTTTTATCCGGAATAATCCAGTGTTTAAAGGATGGATAAAGATGACAGGAACTTCTTTTTCAAGAGTGGTAGATCTTAAGAAAAGAAAATTTTTTTTACTCCAAACATATAAAAGTTGAAGTGCCCCATGTGTAATTTAAGAAAATGAAGGACACTTGATGCTGGGCTTGATACAGTCTGATAAGAGCCAACGTGTCAGTCTGCTCAGAATCCTCCTTCTGGGAGGCCATGTTGCTGCACCCACCCTCCCACCCCCATCAACACCTGGCCCTAAATGCCCATCACTGGGGTTGGGCTTTTCAAACTGACAAAAAAGGGGCTAAAATGTGTTTTAAAACCACTAGGTAAAAAAAAAAACCAATCAACCACTAGGGAGAAAGGGTGGATGCAAAGGCAGAGGAATCTCTGACAGGAAGCTATGAACCCAGCAACTGGCTGACTTTCTTTCACTTAGTCCCTCCTTCTCGTAGGGAACAAATGTGGGGGTGGCCGGAGTGCAGGGAATTCCACCACAGTCAACCCTGGCATCTCAAAGCACAAGTGGGAATATAGTTGAGGCCCCCTTATGAGAACCTCTGATACAATTTTTGTTCAGGGGTCGGGGGGAGGAGGCTGGGAGGCCCATTAGTCTGGGCCAGCTGCAAGTGTCCTCCTTAGCAAAGGTGATAAATGGCTGTATCTTGGCAAGGCCAAAGCCTTCAAAGCCTCTGAACAGTAGATGGGTGTTAATGGGTGCTAATGTCACAACTGTGCCTTTAGAAGACTGAGACACCCATCATGCTCAGGGATATGTCACCACGTCTAGAGGTACCCATGTTATTACTCTGTGATACTTGCTACATGTATGTTGGCATTTCTGGTGTTTTTTGCTTTCTTTCTATATAGGTAAAGTGATTCTGGCCAAAGCAACATTGAGTCAATTTTCAATACATTATATAAAAATCAATCGTATAGTTAATTTTGTCATCAAGACAAATTCTTGATTTTACCAGTCTACCAACAAAATATGATTTTTACAGTCTAGTCATATTATAAGTTTTTAAAAAAATTTTATTAGGTTATGTTAGTCACCATACAATACATCATTAGTTTTTGATGTGGTGATTCACGATTCATTGTTTTCGTGTAACACCCAGTGCTCCATGCAGTACGTGCCCTCCTCAATACCCGTCACCAGGCTAATCCATCCTCCACCCACATATTGTAACTTTTGACCTAAAAAGATTGAAACCATTACCACCACCACCACCAACACAAGACACTTAAAAGTTCTCTTTCAAACTAGTTCTAGAAAAGTTCACCTCGAGAATTACTCTTGTCTCTTCAGTAAGTCAGCATCATGGAGAAAAAAAAAGACAAAAAAGGGCTGTTCTGTAGTAAAAGCACCTGAAGGCATAACAACATCAGACGCAAAGTCCCAGAGTGGATTCTGGTTTGAATAAATCAACTATAAAGAATATTTTAGGGAAAATGGAGAAATTTCGATATGAACTGGTTACTAGATAAAATTAAGGAACTATTACTAATTTTATTATTGTGATAATTTTATCTTTATCTATTTGAAAAGTGTTTTTGTTTTTCAGAAATGCAGACTGATATATTTAAAATGTCAGGATCTCTTGTAACTTGCTTTAAAATACTTCAGCAGAAAAAACACAAAGTTTTAAGAATGACTTGTCCTCCTGGAGAGGGGTGGAGGGATGGGGTAACCGAGGGTATTAAGGAGGGCACGTGTTGTGATGAGCACTGGGTGTTATAGACAACTAATGTTGAACACTACATCAAAAACTTATGATGTGCTATATGCTGGCTTAACTGAACATAAAAAAAAAAAAAAAAGAATGACTTATCCTTTTCTGGAAATTTAAAAATATGATGTTAAAATAAACCATCTTTACTCCAATTCTATGACAACAATCTAATGATGTTAAGAACAAATTCATCTTAAATGCAATACAAATCAGATCATGTAGCTTGATATCAAGGGTAGCTCTCTGATGTACGAAATAAGGCTGGCATCTGGGGTCAGAAGCCTGAGTTCAGATCACTTTCCTTTTCATTTATTGAATGTGTGATACTGAAGAATAACTTCTATCAGCCTATTTTATTCCATTTGTAAAACAGAGATGATAATGGCACCTCTTGTGAATTGTTTTAAAATACTTGTTTAAACCAAAAGCAAGCAAGCAAAAAGCCTCGAAACTATAAAGCCTACATAGATACATTGTTATTAATCCTAGAATCCAATTATCCCTTTATCCTTTTTTTGCATGGGCAGCTAAAACAGGAATCGTAACTATAATAAAGTTAGTATTACATTTTACTTAGAAATATTTTTCCATTAAATAGCTCATTTAATTAGGACATTCTAACCATCCAGAATGTTTTGACCAATTTAACTCTATTACTCCTATCTAATATTGACAGTCTGTTATTATAGTCTTCATTTATACTTAACTGCTTCCACCATTTTTCTCTTTGCTGCAGATAAATGTAAAATGGCAATTAATTATGCCATTTTAAAATGCTTGTTAATTTATCACCTTGTGCACGTTATCTACCAACTTCTTTGATTTTTCCCCTATGTTTATTTCCTCTTGCCTTCATCGCTTTTGTTTCCTTACATCTTTCTTTATGAAATCACAACTGACATATTATCATGAATAGGTTTCTCTAGGCTTCAAGACATGCTGATGAGCCTCAGGCAAAGAAAGAGTGTACCTCAGAGAAGTGCTACTGTTTGCAGTAGTTTCCACACCAGTACTGATCTCTGTCAGCAGCTCTGAGAGGGGAAAGTTTTCTGGAAGAAAGTAACAGCATTACAATTAATACCTCCCTTATATTTCTAAAATAAATAGTATGAAATCTAATTTCCTAATCTCTTTATACAAGTGTGCAATAAATATATGGACTGTGGTATCCTAAAATACATAATCCTAACCATTCCTCACCAAAAAGAAATCTCCCTCAAGACAAATTTTAGCTGTTCATCTAAAGCTGAGTTTTTATAGAACATGATCTGTGGTCTTTGAGGGCTTGGTTGGAAAGCAATGATCACACTTTTCCACAAACCCTGAGCTGGATGAGATTCTAGGCTAAGTATGCATTTCTAATGCTCTCATATTGCTTACATAAAAATTCATGAGAAACTTATCCAAAGCAGAATTCCTAAGGACAAATTAATATTTACACCAGAACTAGACAGTAGGTTCATGCAGAGGTGAGGGAAGTGTTCCCCCTTCCCCTTTCCAGAGGTCCTGGGATGACCAGGAGCCACATGGAGTGGGACCAACTCACAACAAGCCATTCACTGTGATATCAAGAAGAGCTAAAAGTTTTACATCCACTAGTCATCACAACTAGGAAGTGCCATGGGTGTCTCCATTTAACAGATGAGTAATCTAAGGCTTAAAGAAATTGAGTGAGAGGCCGAGCCAGGATGCCAATACAGGCTTGCTGAACTCCAGCTCCAGCTTCTGGCCACCATACCACATCTGTGCTGTGTCTCCCTAGACATTCAGCAAGTCATTGTCATTCTACAATAATTTTACTTATGGACAAAGTCCTTACACACAGTACCTATATCATCATAGCGCTCCACCCAGACTACAGAAACTCTGGTCTCAGGTCCAAGGGGAGGCACAGGGCGACCCTGAGGCAGCTTCTTCATTCTGGAACTGGGACTAAGCTATATGAGATAGAGAAAAGCAGAAAAGGAGAAGGGGGAGGGAAAAAAAAGAAGCGGCTTAACAAAACTACCCAGCCACATATTCAACAAGCTGCCCAGTGATGTAAATATCAAGTCATGGAAAATCACTTGAGGAAAAAAGTGAAATATATTTGCAAAAAAGCTCTTCTTTGACTCCTGTTTATCAAGTCTCAACCTAGAACAAAGAAATGAAGGTCTTAAATTCTCAAAGAAGGTAAGGAATACTGACCAATTATACTTCACATTAATAAAAATAAAACTTGTGGGCGGGGTGCTTGGGTAGCTCAGTCGGTTGGGCATCCAACTCTTGGTTTCAGCTCAGGTCCTGATCTTGGGGTCGTGGGATCGAGCCCCGTGTCTGCTGGAGATTTTCTGCCTCTCCCTCTGCCCCTCCACCCACTAGTGTGCGTTCTTTCCCTCTAAAATAAATGGATAAAGAAGATGTGGTCCATATATACAATGGACTATTACTCAGCCATCAGAAAGGATGAATACCGAACATTTGCATCAACATGGATGGAACTGGAGGAGATTATACTAAGTGAAATAAGTCAAACAGAGAAAGACAATTATCATATGGTTTCACTTATTTGTGGAACATAAGGAATAGCATGGAGGACATTAGGAGAAGG